GAGACAGGAGGAAATGTCTTTTGTCAGCTCTGCAGCAGGCCAGCCGGCAGCTCCAAGCTGTTTATTAAAAAAGAAAAAGAATCCAAATAAATAAAGGAGTGTGAATGGCACCTTGCTGGGGTGGGGGCATTCCGAAGTGCTGACGGTGACAAACGCAGCTGGGGTAATTATGAAGGAGCCCTCTCTCAGCCCGTGTCCAGCTGTGATGGGGACAGAAAGTGACAGGAGGGCTTAGGAGAAGAGACAGAGGCTTCGGGCAAGTTGTGTGGCTCTGCTTTTAGCTGGTGGGGGAGGAAGTGATGGGAGGGACAGGCATGGTGGCCTGCCTGCCCATCCTCCTGCGTGTCCCTCTGTGGACTTCCTTGGGCCCAGGGACGGGGCGGGCGCTGCAGATTCAGGGAGCCTCTGTGATGGCGGCCACCTTCAGTGTTGATGGGTGTGACCTGTCCCTGTTTCCCTGGGCTCTGAATTGCTCCTCGCAGCTGTTCACCCCTTGGACGGGCCGGGTGCTGCCTGAGGGCGTCTCACCACTCTGCCTGCCCCACGGGGGGCATAAAGGTGGGGTGCATAAAGGTGGCAGAAGGGCTGTTCAGGCCAGGGGTCAGCCAGCACAAAGCCCCGAGGCAGGAAGGACTTGAACTGTCCCCACACAGCAGGCAGAGTGCACAAGGGGGGTCACCAGACGGCAGGCCAGGAGGAGGAAGGAGCCGGCCACAGGGGAGAGGGACGGAGGAGGAGAGGAGGCAGCTCATCTGCTCCACCCACGCCCGAGGGCCTCCTCTTTGCCTGGGCTGTGGGATGGACCCTCCTCCACCATCTCCCCCCACCGCAGGACCACACCAGCCCACCACCCGTCCGTCCCGTGGAGCCTTCAACAGGACCCGCTGTGGCCTGGTGCCCGCCACAGGTTCTAGGCCCAGGGAGCCCCTGCCCGCCCCAGAAGAGAGGGGCTTGTGGGATGGTGGCGTCTGGCCTCCGGATCCCAGGGAGGCAGTGGCCGGTGCCGGTCTTGGTCCCTGGGCCGGCGGCTTATCAACAACAGAAAGTCATTTCCCGTCCCAGAGGCTGAGAAATCCAAGGAGGAGGAGCCCGCAGACTCGGTGCCGGGTGCCCACAGGAGGAGC